GTAGTCAGCCGTTAGCCATATGGGTAAAAGCTAAATAAAAAGCACCCAATGGCGCTAGAGTGAAGTCTATGCATAAATGACTCTACCGAACCCGGTCAGACTGGTTGCCCCACGATATGATTGGACCTTATTACCTGATATAATGGAATAAATTCGCCTTGAACGATTTAAACGCTCGACATACAAAATACAATTCGTAAGCACTAACTGAAGTCACGTCTATACAATACTTCTAAATACAGGAGATTCAAAAGACGAAGTATCACGGAACAAAAGAAAACTCTATTGTTTTTCTGTGCACATCAAAGGCAATCTAAATAAAAACACGTCAGGTTTCATAGCAAATTAATTTCCAATTCAGGCTTTCAAGCAGAACAGTTTCTGGCCTGTTGGCTGGACTGGGATAGTTTATTGCGTCCTTAACCTATCCATTCAGGCTTTTCTTTAATGTCAGATGACTAAAGACGATCAGTTTCGGGGAGGACGACGACAAAGGACCTGTGAGAAAAAGATTTATTACCAAGATCAATGTGCGTGTGGCTCACTTGTCGGTGATCCATTCGCAAAGCAGCTACAATTAATGTCGACAAACAAGGAAAGACAATGTTACCTGGATACGCTGTACGCACAATGGCTCTGATAGGGCGATACAAAATCCCAATGTAAGGGGACAAATTGGGGTCTTACAATTTGGGTAGCTACAGAAGAACAGCCTACAGCCGCCGCAGCAAAGGCAACGTCGACCATACGAAGAGACTGTTTGGCCGGTTGTCTAGCTACGGGAATAGCTCAATCCTGAGGAGATGTCAGGCTCATTAGCCTGTTTTTTTTTTGCAAATGATGCTACTGTCTGAAATCATACGCTATGCACCCAAATGTAACTAACTATTGGTATATATCGATATCAGGCTCTCCTGCGTAGCCATGCCAGGATCATTTTCAGTTCTAGCCCATAGGTGCACAGGCTGAAGAAAGCCGCTCGAAAATTCTATCATGTCATATGGAATATAATGCAAAACTATATCTAGCCATGTCGATTAGTTCAAATACGACAATGAATATTAATTCCATCGAGTTGTCGCGCTGTGTCACGGAGCTTGGCAGAAAGCTGCGAAGACAACTCGGCAATATCAGTCACGTCGGATTCTAGTTAACGAAAAGAGTCGGCAGCCGATTTCCAATGGTTCTTCTTCTTTTTTCTTGCATCCAGCCGTTCATTGCCATTCGTCGCCTGCATTGTTCTACTCGGATCTCTTTGTGTCTATTTAAACGCATACGCTAATTGGTTTCTCGGCCAGCCTCAATCGAGTTTCAGCTGCTCTGTTCGTGGCCGTCTTCAGTCGTGGTCTAATCCAGTTGTTCTATCGCATGTGCCCCCTCTCCCCAGGTGCCCCATGCCGGAGATTCGTAGTCGCTTAGAAAGACCAGAATCGCCATTGCGACTGCCAAGTTCATTGTCAGATGCTGCCGCTAAACGCCCTGTTGACCACACAGCCGCATTGTAGTAACTGTGAACATGTAATAACACAGCGCAAACGGGCTACGACGACAAGCCCATGGATGCAGATAAGTTGTCTGACCGCGGGTGAAACGCTCCCCTGGGTTATAGCGACGGCAGGTAGCGACAACCGCCCCAGGCATACGCTACGACGAAGACTGGCGCCCGTTCCTCGGTTCAGTCCGTTTAGAAAGCAGCTCTGTCAGCGCTGGTGCTACATAAACGTCTGATATCCAGTAAACCATTATTGTTAATCGTTTACAGGAGAGTGTGAGAAGACAACTTTTGCTATTATTATACGTATACATATATACTTTCAGACTCAATTTTTACCATGACACCGCATCACGGGGGATTGGCTGACGCTAATCTGGCAATTTGTGTTTGATGAAACAGGCGTTTTTCCTTTTGCCTTACATAGACGTATATGGTATCAAAAGTCAAAGAAGAAAAAAGTACGTGCTTCGAATTAGCTTAAGTGATTGCCTTGGGTAACAATCCGTATTTAAAATTTTGACTTATTTTGTCCGACCGCAGGTTGGTTAGCATATAACATAGAACGTATCCTGTTTCAATCTCACATATCGACTACTCTAAGACTATAATTTCAAGCTAGCTGCTAGAAGCTAATACTAGTACATGATGTAAGGCGCTAGCAGCAGCTTATTGTCGCTTTTGTCCTAGATAGGTTTTGCCTATTTCCATCAGCCTGGAACAGTTCTCCAAAGCAAACAAACTCGATTGATTTTCTGGCAAATTTTTTATGCTAAAGCAACGTCGAATAAACTCCTCAGAATATAGAAAAACTGTGTATTTTTTGTTCTGGAAATGGCTTGCCCTTTTACTTGTTTCCCAACGACCGAGGAAAATGGCAGCTTTTTTATCTTTCGGAAAATCTTTTTTCGCTGTCTCTTATTTGGTTTTCTTCAGCGGGCCAATGAGCCGCGACCAGCCATGAGCTAGCGGCATCAATTTTCGATTGAAAAGCTTACGAGAACGCCAACAGAGATGGTAGACCAAAATGGCGACAACGACGGCGCGTAACGCCGGGCACTTTTGGGGTGAGAGGACAGGCTGTGGCAGCAGTGGAGGCAACGATGGATGGACAACAGACGTCAGTGAGTGGTCAACAGGTCAGAAAAAGGGAGCCGATAAGCAAAAAAAAAAAAAAGAAAGAACTGCCGCTAGCAGTATAACGATGAGCCAATATGGACGCTTGTTGTTTTATGCTCTTCTGCTTTCGCTCCTCCTTTAAATGCTAGGCATAGAACGTATATATTGGATAGATGCCGAACGTGTGTTGCTTCCCCCTGATACTCGGCTGACTCTCATAGACACCTTCTGAACGCGCGGACGATCGAAAAGCGACGGATTCGACCCGCATCAACTCATTTCACTCGAGGTGATCGAATGTTGTTTCGCGTCATGGTCATACCACGAAGTCACGCAAAGAAAAAGCAAAGAAATAAATGAAAAAAGAAAGGATCTTGTGCTGATATCACAGAATGCATTGTGCTTAATTTCGAAAAAATGCATTGGGGAATATGGGCCGGTTAAGCACTACATAACTAAGTTTTGTTTGTTGTAAATTGTCGGCTCGAAGTCGGAACAAACGTCGAATCGGGATGAAGAATTGTTGAGAACTCCGCATCAGAAGTTTCAACTACAAGTTAGGCAAATAGCCTCTGCACAATTTGTTATATGATTTTTTGAATTGCATAAAATCAGTTTCATTTACTGATGTCTAACTTGATTGCGCTCGTAATGATCGGGTAGAATAACTCGGGGACGAAACGAAGTCTATTTTTAGTGTGGAGATGGTAAACTATGTTCACCATTGAATAACGGCACCTTGCAGAACCCTTTGTCCCTTGTAGAAACTCAACCTAAAATCGCTCATCGCTATGGCCTAAGAGGTTGCCGTCACCCGTCAAAACAGCTGTCACACGGCGTCAGTTTTGACAAGTACTTTGTGGCCATCCAATACACACATACACAAACGCTGGAAGGTGTGTAGCTGGCGTAAATGAAGAGATTTCTAAATTTGCTCCAGTTGGATAGACTAACTAGTCAGTTGCTTGTCTTGCTTTTTAGCGCGTTAAGAACAAAATCTATTTTTGCTTACACTGAATGACGATGTAAGTAGCAACCAAAGGGACGGCTGAACGAGTGTAGCGTAAAAAGTCGCTGGGGCGGTGTTTCATCGAATTGTCACCTCATGTCGACCCAACTTTTCTTAAGGACATTTCAAGTTCGTTTACTCTATTTTAACCATCAATCCGCCCCCGAACAGTAAAGTATTTTCATCATGATTACATTTATGACAATGGACGTAGGGACGTTTAGGGTCTGCCTCGTCAGGGTCGTCCAAAAGCTAATAAGCCCATGGCCACATAACCCAGAATGGGCCAGCTACTGCAGGATCCAGACAGATAATTAAATTCGTTCAATTCAATTCATGCCGTGATTTATCACCTAATTATTGGAAGCGAATGATCTAAGGTTTAAATAACAACACTAATTAATACTGTTACTTAACAGGGCGTAATGACTTTCACTTACACACAGGATATATAGGGACTCCTGAACTTATTAAGTGATGGAAGAAGTGCCTAGCGTTTAAATATTGATTTACTGTAGATAAGAAAGCGCGATCGTCTAAGTGGTCTCCGTAAACTGCTATTCATTTCTTCCTTTACTGTTCTAAGCATAAGCCAGCACCGTCTACATTTTACCGTTTTGAACATTTAACAAGTTGGCGAGAATGATTCGAAAAGAAACTAACCTCTTAATAATTAGTAAATTCTTGATTGGTAAATGAAAATATTTAGTTTCCTCTTAGCTGCACTAAATATATATATATAGCTACTAAATATATATTAATGTTACGAAATTACCAGGGATTTTTTTGTGCAACGTAGTGTGGTAAATTAACAAGGACTAAGGTAGCACATTTGCTGAGCTTGGAACCCGCGACGGAACCCGATTTGGTAACCATAGCTCTATTGATTTCATTGCTATCTTGCTTGTGCTTGTCGCTCTGAGGTTTGCTAAGCCGAATATTAAGTAGGTTTTCTGTCTTCTTTTTCTGAAGGTCGAGCTTGTGCCTGAACTATCGCACTAGGAGCGTGGCAGCATCAGAGCAATTTACTTACTTTGCAAACTTTACCTCGTCTTTGAGCCTAACTATTGCCTTGTTCAATCTTATGCTAACGTGCAACAGGTATTGTTTGACGACAGAGCTACTCTGCTGCGCGCGGAACCCCTGGATCTTCGCGAATACCCGCACCTATCATCATACTTAATGCTCCACTCGTGGAGCATCCGTGCGTTTAACATGTATATAGACACGAGTAACATCAGAGAAGTCAATACGTTTTAACGGATGGCTAATGAACAAGTGCGTACGGCTGACTGTACAGGATGCAAATAGGTAAACAATGTCAAGTTGATTTCAGTGAAAGTCATTGAATTGAAACACATTGTTCTTTGTGCGACTTACCTTTTACAGCGGACTTTTTCCATTTGTTCGGCGTGCCAGCGGTGGTGGCGAGCAGTGCACAGACCGAAGTCAGGATGACAATTGTCTTCGCTCTCATAGCGACTCCCGAAAATATTCCAATCAGTTATGAAAAAACACAGCACTGAGTTATCCACCGACCCAGAAGTTATCCATACAGCTTGTAGGGCGCTTACGCAAAAGCGATCGTCTTTGAACTCGTTACATTGACAATCTTTCCATTGCGATAAGCAAAGTAGCGTGATCTAAAGTTAACGAATACAGAACTTGTACAGCCGTAAGCCCCGTAGACTCTCTATTCAGTTGTCACGACATAGCCCCCCTTCATCTCAGTTTACACTGGAAACTCAAGCTAACAAATTCTGTGAAACCACACACCCGCTCGACGGACACACAGCTAGAACTCCTTGATGTACGCTTAAAGAGCCAAGTTGCCTATTTAGCACTTGATACAATTTAAGTTCTCCTTGAAAACGATTGAAGTAGTAGTAATCCAGCTGTGATAGTTTATATAGAAAGATCATTGATACTGTCCGGTTCGGGGTGTTCCCCTCCGACCAACTGTTGCTAAGCGTTAGTTGCGCCAGACATCTTTTTTTTGTCCTGCTCTATTGAGGTCTTTCCTGCTGTTATGAAGCAAGTTGTTCTGAACGGCCGAGGTCTTTGTACCAGTATCGATGAGGCTGAGCGAACTGGTAGTGTGTTGAGTGTGCTAGGTTTATGGAACCGCCGCGGTTGCCGGCAGGCTTTCATAGGCTATTTCTCTTTCAGCGTTAGCGCGAACAAACAGAGATAGAAACGAGCAGCGGCAGTACGCAGCGGCGCATCGGCAGCGAGAGCTAGCAATCGGATGGGTACGGACCCATTTTACCGGCTGCCGGGTGAACCCTCGCCCATTGGACCTCCACCATCGGAGCACACCAGCGCCATCGCACGTGTATCGGTATTAACATGATGAAACAACACATCTGACAACAGAGGATAGGGTGGGACAAGATCGACAAAAGGACAATGAAAAAAAAACCTAAAATAAATGCAAAGCAGGACACAGTAGTATAAACAAAAAACGACGAAAACGGATATTATGAAACAGTGAGAAGAAGACTATGAGCTAGTCAGTAACTCTCAGGTTCATTTGTTAAAAAAATACGCCTAATTTTTAATGCAGAAGAAGCCTGAACCGAGCAGATTGTCTTTGAGATGAACACGGAGCTGTTCCGTCAAACGTATTGCAGCTGATATAAGGTATAACCTACGAAAGATGTTACGAACTGTCTTATAGGACAATAGAGCCCCCGGTGTGATTAGCTACGAGATATTGCAGTACTCCGAGTACTAAAAAATGAGATGTTGCGGAAAACGAAACACGGATACGACCTTAAAAATTAACTTGGAAAAAATAATTTTAGTAGCCAAGTTAATGAAGATCCACAGCAGTTTATTGGTTTGTTAAAATGAAATCAAGACGCTCATATAATTCTCGATTGACCTTTGGATCAAATAACTAAATTTGCAATACAAATTGACATCGAAAATATAACTTATGCCTTTAGTAATCGTGTAGAAAAGTCCGAAAAGGAACTTTTTTTTAGAACCAGTTATAAATTAGTTAGTAAAAAGGAGCCCGCTCCGCATAACGGTGGCGCTTTGATCGGCCTATCGCACTAGACGCTAGTACAAGATAAACCTTAGAAAAACCTTCGGCTCAAAACGTGGGTCATTAGTTTGGGCTAAGTGCTCGGATAATTCGCAGCCACTAGTTGAATAATGATCATATTTTCACAATGAAAACACAGTCATATCTGGCATGCATCGAATCGAGTGGGAAAAGTTGCTCGAGTGGCGTGAGAAGCTATGGGTGATTGAAGCCCTCGAGGTATCCCCTACGAACCCGAATGAAAGGTTGCCAGCACTGACGAGCTCGTTTGACTTCCTAGTCCAAAATTGCATTCGCTTCAATGCAGAACGAATGCCTATATGGCAAACAAGGTAAATTTGCACCTCGTTTCCTATGATATATGCAGCGCTATATAGAGTGGGCTTCTTGGGTTTAAAACACCGCGCGCTTGTTTTTGCTTGAGAACATCTAATGTTGTACACAATCAGTGTATAATGTTATATTAATTGACATTTATTAAACAGGTATCAGTTACAATAAACACAAATAGAATTTATTTTAATAAACTTTTGCTTTATTGCAATAAAATTGTTTGCTTTATTTCGCCTTAAGCCAGCCATTGCAAATGTCGTTGTTCAATAATGTAATGCACTGCGTTTATTACTTGTTATTATATTAATTTGTTGTTTAATAACCTATAATATAATATATTGTTTAATAATGTATAATAATAATAATAATAATAGAAGAAATTCTCTCAGTGTGTTGTCCATTATTGTCAGTCCACTGAATTACAGCAAGCTCATTTATATGAAATACCTTTAATTGGTTCAGATGCTTAAGGAATCATCGATTTATAACAAAGCATGTGTATCAATCCTCGAATTTGTGTTTGTACTGGTATTACTTGGAAATTTTAGTTCTTTTTTACGTTTTGTTCTCGTAAAATCTTCAAACAAATAAAGCTCAATGTCTCACTACAATCGAGGTTGGGGATTCTTCATCGCCACCATGTGGGGTACTTCGACTCTTGGCTATGGAGAGTTGCCAAATTGTGGCCGCCTATTCTTATCGTCTAAATCAGTTTTTATCGCTTTCATTTTAATCAGCTGCTGCTTGCACCCCGCGCGTATCTGCCCCCTTTATTACTGATCATAATTATTCGTTTATAGTGGCTATTTCTCTGACTCATTTAGTGCATTTTCGGCAAACTGACCGCCCTGCCTATAACCGCAAAAATTCGTGGGCTCCCGTCGCTATGAAAAACTAACCATTCCCATGATATCAATGGCGACGATTTTTGGCAATGACAAAATGCGAGTTTCTGCTTCAGTTGAAAAAAACGAAGAAAAATAATTCCTGATAAAAATGAATCGGATCTGAGCTACGCATTTTTGGTAGAAGCAGCGGCAGCAACCACCGAAGCTGCAGGAACAAGAAGACAGTGCGAGGCGTCTGCGCGGATCTCGGATCATATTCGTATATGATCCTAAATCCTCTTCCTTGGTTTGCCTTGAAGTGCTTTAACGAGATGTCCTTAGAAAAGAAAACAAAATATAGCAAGACGAAAGGACCCTGTCGACTATTTAGTGAGTACACCGGTGTATAAGTTCATGCGATATTTTCTCCGCTGGTAATGTCGTTATTTTCACGCTCATATGATATCGACGAGGATGATATTGCAGGCTTCTATGTTGGCGATAATAAAATCCGTTCCGAGCTGATCGGTTCCCCTGGAGCTTACATTACTCTTTTCTCTCTAGCGATAATGTTTAGGCGGTTCAGTCGGTGAGCGACAGGTTAGCTAACCGTAGCTCCGGTGGGTTGTGAAGAGATGAGGCCTCTGCGGAGGCCATCGTTTGTCGTCTCCCATGAAGGCTGATCTGGCCCAGGCATCAGTTTTTAGCTAGACGCATTTTTATTCAAGAATGCGGGCTGCTTGCAATGACTCCTCGTTGTGGATAAATCTAAACGCTCATGTCCTCGAAGTAATTCTTATAGTGCAGAAGTACGCTTGCAGAATCCTGACTGTCGAATCCTTTAAGGTCCGTCGAAAGAATCTAAAGGGGCACTTTTGGGTGGAGCAAAGGTGCAGTAACTGCGTGGGGACGTTTTCTAGCAGCGCCATTGGTACTGCGATTCGCAGAAATGGGTTAGTCCTCATCGTTTGTGACATACCTGTTGCAATGAAGATTCATATACGAATTTAAATGCGTGACCAACTATTTCAATTGTAGCCAATCTCGTTGGAAGAACCAGTGCCTATAATGCACGGCATTATAGGCACTGATTCAGGCATGGTCACGGCATTGAAAATGATGCTTGGGAAACAGAGATTGCATCATTTTTTCGCTACTATACTAATTTATATATAAAATAATTGAAAAGGTTATATAGTTGCCGCTTTTACAGCTCGTTCAGGCAACACTGAAAAAGGTACGGCCTGTTCTTATTTTGCTTATGCGCTGTCATGCTAGAAACTATCAAAGACAATTTCGCTTTAATGACTGGGCGCATTAAAATGATCGAGGGCATGTTTTGATGTAGCGTGATGCTGAGATCATCCTCTACTTCTCAAGCAATAACTAAACGCGTACCGATTTCACTTACAACCGTCTTCATTTCGTTAAATCAATACACACAATACATTCACACCGGCCCACACCTGTAGATTTCTACCCGGCTCAAATGCTCGTACTGGGGGCGCCCGAAGATCCTTCCTAGCTTTCAGCGATACGGGCAGATCTGTCGCTAAAAAACACTCTCTTTGTACTTACGTGTTGCATCTGGTGCATTGTGTTGGAAGGTTCCGTTAAGAAATACATTCTTATATTCTGATGTTCTTAGCTTTCTGCTCAACGGGCCCGACTCTCCTCGTTTGCGAAAGATTCTCAAGGCCTCTGTTTTCACCGCTGTCCGGGATCGAAACTCCGGCTCGGTTTTTAAACTACTAGTGTTAGCTGGAATGGTAGAAGCGATATAGCTGACTTGGGCTGCATCCAAAGGTGGCCAGTCAGTCACCTACATCAGCTTGGCGATGAGCTGCTACATCATGAACAATTTGGTGACTTGACGAGGCTCAAGTACTACGCAACAGAAAGACCACCAGATGCTACCACATTACCTCAGTCTTTATTATAATCATCATCATCATCGCTGTACATTAGCTGGCTGCAAATGCATTGTATCATGAAGGTTTTGTCAATAAGCTATATGGATCTATTGAGTTTGACTCGCTTTCAGCGCAGCCGAGAGCGTTCGCTTTCAGCACGAGGCATCGCAGTTAATGCGCCGGTACTCTACAGGACATATACGCACTCGGAGCTGCCTACCGAAGTGAAACATGTACTTTTAAACAGTAAATTACAACACGTCTACTATGAACGCGTACGACGGAAATGCCCAAGAAATACGTCGTTATCGTCTGCGGTACGTTTCTAAGTCACGCTTTCTAGCCGAGAAAACGCTAGTCAAATGCCGACAAAAACACCAACACATCGTTGTCGGCAACGAAAGAACAAAGTGGTACAAAATACAGACAAACCAATGACAAGTTTCGTATTTCCGCTGCGTATATTCCGAGAGAAACAGCGAGTTGATAGGCTCATCTCGTAAAATTGTTGAGCTTATGACCACCGTTGACTCTGCCCTTGGCGTCTCTCGACAGGCGGTGATCAAGCGGACAGCAATTGAGTTACCAAACTTGTGTTAAAGCAAAGGAAGCAGATGTTATAAGTAACAGTTATGCTGATTCCCTTACATAATTCAGACAAGCAAGCTCAGATCAGCTTAGAAAGGGACGTCGATGTTTGTATTGCATTCAGACGGGCAGAAAGGCGGCGGGCAAATCGATGCGCGCGCCTCTTTTACGAGCCGGCATGATATGTACTCAACTTGCCGAACGACCTTTATTCAACGAAGACGTGCGAGAAGTGCGTATCTTGCAGTACAAAAAAGACGTTGATTCTAGCTAGTTAGCTTTCTGGATAGGTGCACTTCGCTTTTGAACGAGATAATTACAGCTCCGGTAACGTTGTGGTAGAATGAGACACCTGCAATTGTATCTTTTGAGGCATCGATATTATTATTGCTCTATAAGTCTTACCCTATGTTTGTTACGAGACATGCACAAATAATGGGCTTAATAATAACAACAAAGAGTACTGCTCTATTCTGCAT